ACTTTAGGTTTTAGATTTCTGGGCTCCTTGCCGGTGGTCCTGTGTTGCTGGCATGTGGTTGTTGCTTATGCTAAGCATCATTAATACACTGTAGCAAATAACCGTTTAACACGGATTTCTTTAGGACTTCTGAATTATTAAGCAGACATTTTTATAACATTACTAGACTAAGTGTCAAAATAGTTTTAGTAATAGTAGCAAAAACGACAGACGTTCAGTGCTATAGGAAACGGTAGACAGTTACTTTAAGCTTATTCATCGATGTTTTTGAAGTCTGTTTTTATATTGCGCATTAACATATGACAAAAAAGTATTTTTGTACCAAAGAATCAAATACATTCAATTTTTTTTACAAGTTTGTATGATAATATTATTTTTAAAACAATTGTTTGTTTTGTCAGTAACCAAGTAAAGATTATTCAGATTACAAAAAGGGAAGAGTTTCGTGTTATTTTCTATAGTGGTACAATCCGAAAATTATAAATGAAAACAATAAGTTGAAATATATTCATCAAAAATATTATTCAATTCATGAATGGTTTAAACAATATTTATATACTCAAACATGCACCCATTAGACAATGTTACTTATTTTCTTAACAAGGGGAACATAAAAAGATCCTGAAAGAAAGGGATCCCCGACAAACAAGCAAACAAACAAACAAAAAAAAAAAAAAAAAAAAAAAAAAAACAAAACACACAAATATGAGAGAATATGGAAGTGCAGCATCTCTCATGCCCCCAGTACCTGTCTCACAATCATTCTTCCATTAACATTTAAGGTATTGAAAGGATCTGATCATATATCAACATGTGGACAACAAATAAAATTATATTTAAATGCAAATATAATACAGATATATAATTCACGGTTTACGTTGAAGCAAATTTAAAATAAAAGGAAAATATAACAGGAAACATGAATTCATTTGTTTATGATATCTTTACGCTCTTGATAATTTCCCCAGAGACTTTTATTATTGAAATATAGCTCTGAAATTTTCCTTTAGATTTTGTTTTGAAAGTTCTACGTATCTGTCCAAAAGTTCTACGTATCTGCCCATGTGCAGCGTAAGGAAGTTACAGTTTGTTTTCGGTTTGGTCACGATGATAGTGAGGATTTTTATTATTCGTGATGGAATGCCATCTCCATATTTTAGGCAACTTTGACTGACGTCAATATACTGTGATAAAGACACTTCATTGTCAAGTATCATCATTTGCATCTGAATTCGTATCACGCAATCTTCCTTTGTTTAAAAAGATGTTTTGGACTAGTAAAGATCATGTGGTTTAGAGTGATAATAATCAAAGAAAATCACTAACTCGTGTATGATTAAGGTCAGTTTTGTGCTTCAAAACAACAAACAAGTTATTTTACTCAAACTTGTCAAACCTTAAGGCCAGTTAAATATTTTTATTTTATCTAAATTTAAATTGTCATATTAAAGTATAAAAGATTCAACCTGTAAATAAGAACTTAATTTTTTAATAGAAATATGATAAGTAAATATAAACCATTACCACTGCCTATACTATTATTTATAAATTTGCTCACATTTTATTGCAGAATTTAATTCTGTGTAATCTATGTCTTCCAAATGGAGAGTATGTTCTGTTCTGTTTTAAAGTTCATGGAATATTTCGCGACTTCGGTTGAGGATAAAAGGTCTTCAAGAATGCATGTTTGATATACAATACATGTAGAAACTTTGCATGCTAACTTCGTTAAGTATGGATGTTATTGACGAAAGAAGCCAGACATAAGACATAAAACATTTGCATAACATTCTATTAGCCTCTGAATCAAACACTTATTTTTCTTCCTGTTTTTATTTGTCTTTATTAACACGTCTCATGTGCCCGGAGAACCAAAGGCGTTGCATGTCTTCAAGAGGTAAGTGAGTATTTTCAAATTGTGTCTTTACCTCTAAATTCTACATAATGTCACAAGCGCAGCTATTATTTTAAAAAAACTTAATATCTAAACTCATAATGAATATCTTTAACAGATGTTGCTCATTTGTTTTCAATAATTTCTTTTATATAAAAACATACATTTTTTAAGTCATCTTTTTTGTCAACGCTCTTAAAATATAATGTAATTTAATTCTAAGAAATGTAACGTGTAAAACAACGTCTAGTATTTTACTTCGATTGCAACTTTGTATGAGATCTTTTGAAATGCAAAATAAACAAACACAGCTTTTAAGTTGATACTTAATACATTTTACCATTATTGAGATATTACTTCTGCAATGTATTGTCTAACGTGAAATGAATATACATGTATTACTATTTTTTGTTTTAAGTTATCTTCATAATTAGACAGATATTGTTTTCAGACGAGTATGATTCATTTTATTCAAATAAAATCATGAAAATGAATAATGGAAATATAAAAATATTTAATAAAAGTTTATTATTTTGTGATTTCTTCATTTTGTGACAGACTGCGTTCATTATGGCTCATTTTATTAAAATTGGAATTTTATGATATGGGAATAATAGACAGAAATTAAAAAATATTGAATACAAACATCGTAATTTGAATACATGTACATACTTGTTTCAGCGTTAAACATTTAGGATTATTCGTGTAAAGGAAAAGCCACCATGATGCTTTATAAGGGTAAGTTAAAATATCATAATAACCCCATGTTAACAATTAACAAGACACAAAAACAAAAGAAAAAGCATTTTATGCAATGTTGTCATGATATATACTACAATTATCGATCCATTACGACCTACGAAATTCTTACTTTATTATAATGTTACTAAATTTTTTCAAGTTTACTATACTATACTTGTAATATTTACTTTCTATGAGCTTTTAAAAAAACTCCACGGAGTATTTAGAATGACCAATTTTGAGTCAATTTCAGTAATAGAATAATTGTTCTGCAACACACTTAGTAAGTAAATAAACTGAAATTTTGCACATCGGTAAATGGGTTAGGTCTTCATCAAATGGAATGGAACATTATTCTTGAAAATTTATTTCCTGTCTCTCGTCATGTCAAAAACCTTAATTATAGATGGAATATAGATGGAATCATTGCTTTCCTATCTCGTCAAATATTGAAATATTACATAATCGTTTAAGTGAATCTCGAGTTACAGTATCTCAAATAATGTTGGTGAATATTTTTATGTAATCAATTCTCTGTAGAAAAAGAATTAATACATTACTACTTTAAGGGTTTATCTTATTATATTTTAGTTCAGTTATATTAAGATCTCGAGACAGAAACCTAAGCGGTAATAGTTAAACATTTAATTTATGAAATGAATATATTTGGACTTCATCACGACTTTCATACAGATTACTAAAACATTATAACTGTATTAACTCTCCGCAATATCAAGAGCAAAATGATATTCAGGTTATTGGCCAAAAAGTAACATTTTGGAAATAAACAGGACAGCAAATATTAGAATAAAATTTTGAAAAAAAAAAATAACAATAATAATACCCCCCCCCCCCCAAAAAAAAACCCCAAACATTTCTGAAGAATAATGTGCCTTGAATATTAAAAAAAATATTTTTCAGGATTTCTTCTTTTCCTGTTGGCTGCTCCTGGAGACGTTGGTAAGTCCGATTATATAAATTTTCATGATCGTTATATTATAAATAAATAAACAGAACTTGATTCGTTTGGTTCATTTTTGTACGATGATTATCGGAAATAAGTACGAATTTTCTTCAAGAGAAAATAAAGAAAATAACATTATAAGCAATTATATCAAAAATAAATAAATTACTCATTTTAGTAAATACTAATGGTTTAAATAACCTAAGGTCTGTAGTTTCGCGTCGGTAAAGGATAAATATACAAAACGAAGATAAAAAGAATGAATCTTACAGGTTTTCTGGGTGAAATAACCTGAAACTACACTAAAATTACTATGCATATCATATTTCTAAATGTAAATATTACAAATGATGTATCTTTTTCAGCTTCATGTCTTGTTATTCGTGTAACAACGTTGACAGTTTAGATAGTTGTAAAACTATAACGACATGCGGGAAAAGAGAGGTAATAATATATTTTCATCTTAATATATATGGCCCTTTAGTATATGCGCTATTGGATTTTTTTTAAAGTATTAATATCGTGTTTCGGGTAAGAGTATGTTATGATAATTCATATCGTTCTTGACTAAAATGAAAAATATACACCACGTACATATTTATATTGCCCGAGAGTCCAAGTGAAAATGGATATCCCAAAAATGATATTGTTTAAACAAGTCACTTAAAATTAACTTATTTGCAAGGATTAAAAAGATTCGTCAAGGACATTTTGATATTTGTTTGTTTGTTTGTTTCGGGTTGAACGTCACATCGACACAGAAAAGGTCATATCGCGACGTTCAAGCTTTACTGGTGGAAGAAGACCTCAGGTGCCCTTCCGTGCATTGTTTCAGGCACGAACGGGCACCTGAGTAGAACCACCGACGTTTCGTAAGCTAGCTGGAAAGCTTCCTAACATGAAGGAATCCAAAGTCCCTGTTGGGATTCAAACCCACAGCGGTGATGGGCAAGTGGTTTGAAGTCAACGACCTTAACCACTCGACCAAGGACGCCCCAAACATTTTGATATATTTGGCTACAGAAATTAATTTGCTTTCTCTGGAATGCTTCTTTCATAATTTTGATATGTAAATTAGATATTTTAGGACTTAATGAATTGCTTTTGTTATTTTCCCATAAACAGTTAAACTCGAAAAAACAACAACAAAAAAACAATGAAACAAACAGAACCCCCAAAACAAAACAAAAACAAGAAAAAACATATAAAATCTTCATTGTTTTGCTAGATAACGGATACAATTTCAAATGCATTCGAATGATAATCATGTAAATAAATCTAATTGTTTGAAAACTTTTAGATAAGTTGATGAAAATTTTGTCACGTTGTTTCGTTTGACATCTGACTTCTTTTAAGATGATATTTTTAGAGAATAATTTACTTTTTCGTCCTTATTTTGATATTTCTTGTCAATGTTTATTTCTCCTTTTACTTTCAGTCATGTTTCAAACGTTTACAAAAGAAAGGACAATCTGTTTTATTTACACTCGGATGTACACGAAATGAGGTGAGATACATTTGTTCCACTATTATATAATTTTAATTACTACTTATAAAATAAACACATTTGCCTTTTTTCAACATTATAGGACTAATAAAATATCATTATTAGTTTATATAAAAATGCAGATAATGGCATAGAGATAGCTTTGATTTAGCAATATTACTTTAATTCAAACTAGTTATAATATTTTTGATAGTTCTTTACTTTGTTTCGACATAAAAAAACACATAGAGCAAGTAATTTGCCATACAATTCTGGAAACAACAACATTTAATATTCTTTGCCTAATACGTTTAAGCTGAGCATAATTATTGTCACGTTTGCAAACCTACATTCAAAAGCCATTATATTATCTATCTGTAATGAAACTTTTTCCGCAAATGACAAATATATAAGCACAAGACTTGTGCATAAATGATATGGAAATTTTAAAACCGCCTTAATGTTAAATCATATTGACTTTGCCTTTAATCATATCATCAGTAAAAATTGCAAAAACAATGTTTTAATTTTTTCAATTGAATGTTTTTACAATGAACACAATCATCTCCATTTTTACAGAATTGCGGTAGCATACCAGTATACACTAACGTGTCAAAGTTGAGTAGTGGTCAACAGATACAAGAATGTGAAGAATGCTGCGGTATTGATCAATGTAACAAAGACCTATGCAACCACAAAACCCGTTAGTAGTCTTATTCATCCTCTATCAGTAAATTTTCATAGTTTGAATACTGATGGTTTATACGATTTTACCTTGAGTATTAAAATAATAAAGATAGCTATTCTAGTTCCCCGTGCGTCGGCGTCGGAGTCGGCGTAACCACTTATGTTAAAACTCGCGTACAGCCTCAAATATTTTTAAAGTCCATTGACATATGACTCTGAAACTTCGCAAACTTGTATAACCTAACCTGTACATATGCGGAGGTATTTCTAACAAATATTTTGACAAAAATATGCCCCCTTTTCGACTTAAAATTAACATTAAAGTTTATGTACCACCTCAGATTATCCATCGATATTTATGGCTTTGAGATTTTGCACACTTGTTCACTATCAAAATCTCTAAATTTCACTGTATCAATATTTTTTTACACATTTATACCAATTTTTACTACTAAGCGCTATGAATAGTCAGGCACGCTCTAATAAATGTATTAAAAATTTCCAGATGACATATAAAGTTCTATTGCCCTAACTGTGAACGATTGATTTTCACTTTAAGATGAGAAGATTTCTTACTCACTCACTCGTTCGCTCGCTAACTCACAAAATCACGTCTTTAATATTTAATTTTAATTTAAGCGCCCCCTTGCAGCGATAATATGGTAAACTGCGCATTCTGGAACAAAGATTTTGACATCTGTGAAGATATCCATAAAGCTAAGTTACACTGTCGTAAATTCTGCAAATTGTGTGATCTAGGTAACTATGATTTTTCAGTTTTTCTAATACAGTGCTCAGAAAATCAAAATGCGATTCCTTTTTTTATTTCTGTTTATTTATTTTTTCAATAAAAATAAAGTTACTTAAAATTCATAAAAGAAGGGCATTTTTTTAAGGAAAAAAGCACAGGTTAAGAGAAGAAGTGGACAAAATATCTACCCTTATTTCGTTTTGAATTTTTTCATATTGACTAAACTTAAAGGTAAGCTTCATGCAGATAAGGAAAAAATAAGGTATCGTTTCCTTTCATTGTAAATTATCTGCCCTTGAATCAGCAAAAACGTCCAATTTAAGGGTTAATAACTCGAAAATGAGAACAACCAACGTTTTTCTGTTATCATATTCTAACAACATGCCTAATTTAAAGAAATTATATTGAACTGTTTTAATTTTGCCTATTTGTCTAAATGAAAATTCCCTAAAACGTCCTTATGTTTGATTTTCGTTTGCACACATCTACGTGTGCTGCTATTATTTATTTTAAGTTGATGGTAACTGGGCCGATTGGTCATCGTGGTCATCATGTGACGTCACATGCGGTCATGGCAAACTCTCTAGAATAAGAACGTGCACAAACCCTGCACCTGCATACAAAGGTCTGGATTGTAATGGAACCGACACGGACACCAAACCTTGTACTCGGCCATTATGTCCAGGTAGAATATATAATTGATACTTTATTTGTTAATTTGTTTTTTTCAAGTTTGAGCCGCTATTAGATTTTGTAAATATGATAAATAGGTACTGTAAGATAATGAACAATTTATTGATTGATATGGTACAATGAAATATAATTCGATTTTTCTTTGGGGTTAAGATGCTTATAAATTTAGGATAGGAAAAATAATCAGTATGCCTTTCATTGAGCAAGATTATGCATTGCCAGATGCACTGTTCAATTTATTCTGGCATGTTGAGCAATAAGCATGGAAAATGCCACCGATACATCTAGAAGAAAATTTAACCTAATGATATTTTTATTGATGTATGATGTAATATTATAAAATTTCAATTCATATACAATTTCAGTTCATGGGGGCTGGGCGGAATGGTCAAGCTGGGAGCCATGCCCTGTTACTTGCGATATAGGTATACAGAAAAGACATCGTAAATGTACTAACCCGTCACCACTACGACATGGCAACCATTGCTTTGGGGATACTATAGATGTCAAATTATGCAAGCAAAAGTCATGCGATGGTATGTGTATGTTTATATTTGACAAAATTCTTATAAATGTGGTATTTAATTTAAACACGTCCTTTTTTCATACTAAGGCTAAAGCCATTTGTCATGTACACTTTATTCTAATGTATCAACCTTATTTACTTGATATATATATATATATTTTGCACGTTGACATTTTAATCATCTTAATATGTGTCTGTGAATATTAAATTCATCGATCTATTTCAATATCTGTTGTTTTATTAAAACCAACTGTTAGAAAATAACACTTATTGTACATTCTGGTGTATAAACTATGATGTTATTATACATTCTTGAGTACACTATGAGTAGACAACTGCAAAGCTTTATTGTTCATGACGATACATGTCCTGCATTTGTGAACGAGTCCATTAGAATCAATATTGAACATAATTATGTGTCATGCTGTCACAGTCGATCATAGTTTAAAGCAACAAGAGGTACAGAATTAGTCAAGGTGATAAACTGAAATGATTGAACTTTAATAAAGATTCATAAATGAGGACCATATTGTCCAAACATTAGAAATTTACTTGTGTGGTAAACCCATTATTGTTTTGATAGAATTAAACGGAAGTTGGTCTGCATGGAACACGTGGAGCACTTGTAGCGTTTCTTGCGGTGACGGGTTCAAGACAAGGTCCAGATCATGCACAAATCCAGAACCTGGTATTAACGGAAAACATTGCGTCGGAGATAATATGCAAGTAGTTACCTGTAACATAGAGGATTGTCGTAAGTAATTTGACTCATAAAATCGACTTTGCATGCTCTATTTTAAATGCATATTGTTTTTGAAATGCAACATATTCATTCCAGAGTAAATATGATACTTATATTTGTGTGTTGCTATGTGATGCTTTTATTTACCGACTTTGAATTGCTCATAAACGCAAGAAAATTTTATATAATTTTATTACATTTATAAGATTTCTAAAGGTGTTATGAACCAATATGAACTGTATGACCAAAGCCTTAGCAAAACACCGTTTTTAAAGGGAATTATCCTACAATCTTTGTGCAGAAGTTATAAATCTGTAATGCAGAAAAAATGTCCGTATTTGGAAGGAAATAATGAAAAACAATGGAAAATTATTCACTCAAGACCCATGTAAAAAGATTCTTACGACCTCAAGCTTTCCACAAACTTTTGATATTATAACATGCTGCAAATGATATAATTTATGTTTTTTAATAAAATAGACTTTTCTAACTTTTTTCGGTATAAATCTTTGTATACTATGTCGTATATATCGTGAAAACGGAAACGTCCATGGCATCATTGTTAGCACTTGTATGATTATGCCACCCAAACATTTTAAGAGACATACTGTTTTTGCCATCGCCGTCTATCTGTCGTCGGACGTCCTCTTTAAGCTTGTCCGACTTTCATTTGTCAAACGGTTAAACTGATTTCGATAAAACTTCACAGGAGTGATCAGTACCATATGTTTATGTGTCAACTAGCTCTCCTTGTTATTAATGTTAATAATTATAAAAATTACAAAAAACCTATCAATTTATTGTTTCCTTACCAGAGCTAGACTCAAGTGTGATTTTTAACGCCTACTCCGGAGCTCAATACAGTCCACGAAGCGGCCAAACTATGATCTTTTCTGAAACACTATGGAATGAGGGAGTAGCGTATAACAATTCAAATGGAATATTCACTGCCCCTAAAGTTGGAACGTATATCTTTTACGCACAAATGTGTGTACCTATCGGTATCTATATCTACTTTGATATAATGGTCGAATCAAAAGTTTGTGCAACTACCTACGGATACCAGTACACCAGCGGTCATTGTAAATCGACACAAGCGATTGTAAAGTTAATGGCCGGTGAAAGAGTATTTGTCAAATTGAATTCTACGGAACAATTGTATAGAAAATATGAGGATAGCTCCTCACCTTACTACAGAAATTTTTTCTCTGGAAAATATTCAAACCCGTAATTGTTTAAATAAAAGCGTAGCCGATCTTAAAAAGTTAATATATATATATATATGTATCAAATATTACAAAAAAATCATATTAAGAGTTTATTTAAGCTTTATTTATTCGTTTTTCGGTTAACTTAATATTTTTTATGTTGATATCTAAATTTTGTTTTACATTTTATTATCCCCGCCGATGGAATCGGGAGGGTGATATTGTTTTTGCGTTGTCCGACTGTTCTTCCATCCATCCGACTGTCCTTCCGTCCGAAATTCGTTTCCGCGCTGCAAATATTGGCTGGAATTAAACGAAAATTGATGGGAACCATCAATATCAAGAGGATATGTGCATATCGTGTTCCGGTCCGACTCTTCAACACATAATTAAGGCCCTTAATTTTGCATATAGATCAATAATCGTTTCCGCACCACTCCTCTGCAAATACTGACCTGAATTCAACGAAACATTATGGGAACCAGCAATATGAACAGGAGATACGCATATCGTCGCCTTGTTTCTGTCCGATCGCTCAACGCAGAGTTATGGCCCTTGATTTGTTATGCAATATGCTTATAAGCAATTATCGTTTCCGTGCTATTTATCGCAACTACTGGTCTGAATTCAATGAATCTTTATTGGAATCATGGATACTAAGAGGAGATGAGTATATCTTTACCTTGTTCAGGCCATACCCTTTAACACAGAGTTATTCCCCTTGATAAGTCATGAAGTATTCATACATAGCAATATTGCTATTTCTTTGCAATTGCTGTATGATTTCAACAAAACTTTATGGGAACAATCAATACAAAAAGGCAATTCATTGGTGTGTCCAGATAATATTATATAAATCTATATTTACTTCTGAACAATATCCTGAATCGTTTGGCGAAGGAATAATAATACCTTTTTACAAAGGAGGGGACTAGAAAACCCACTAAATTATAGAAGAATAACAAAAATAAATATTATATAAAAAATCTACTCTCAAATTCTGTTAAACCCCTTTACAAACTGGACTCAAACAAACGAAACAATCATTGAAAATCAATTTGGCTTTCAGGTAGGTTAATCAACAATTGATTGCGTCTTTATTTTACATTCAGTTACAGCTAAAACTTTGACGTTAAAGAAAAAAAATTATATTGTTGTTTTAAAGATTTCGAAAAATGATTTGATCTCATTTATTTCATAAACTAATAACAGAAAATTTGAGCTTCCGATTTGTTAGTTCTATAAGAGCTATGTATGATACAGTGAAAGCGTGCGTAAGATATAAATCAGAAAACTCAACTTTTTTCACGCCAAACATTGGAGTTCAACAGAAAGATCCCCGTTCCAGTCTGATTTCTTATTTATCGTAAATGACATTCTTTCAACTATAAATATTAACATAGATGGCATCTGTTCTATATTTAGAATAATTAAATTTATTCCTTTGCGCCGATGATGCCGTCATTTTTGCAGACATACCACATGCATTACAGTCAATACTTACTGACTTACAATTATACTGCGATCTGCTGCATTTAAGAGTAAATACATCTAAAACAAAAATTATGACTTTCGAAAAAGGACGAAAAACAACGAGTTATTTCATTTTTAATAACGTAGTGTTAGAAATCGTTGATTCGTTCAAATACTTAGAAATAATCCTATTAAAAACTACAACTGGAATAGAACACAAAATCACATAGCAAAACACTCTATATATGTACTTCATAATTCATATTTTTAACTATAGCTAATTAAATCTCAATACAAAATAAAAATGTAAATTATTAGATAGTCTTGTAGGATCAATTTTTAAATATGGCTCAGACATATTTTGGTACCATTGTGCAAATGATTCATAATGAATGCATACAAAAAATATTACACTTTCGTTAATGAACAAACCATGTTGCATTATATGTTGAACTAGGAAGGTATCCTATGATGACACATCGTAAAATAAATTTAACTAGATTTTGGATATGAATAGAAAAATCAGATGATAATACGTACATTAATTAAAACGACATACAATATGCGTAAAGATGATTTTAATAATCATGGTAATAACCATAATGGTTTAAATTGGGTCGGACATGTTCAACAAATGTTCGATGAAATAGGTATATCAAACATTTGGCTATCTTAAAATGCTGACCTCGTATCTTTACACACTATTAAACAAAGATATATATATCATGCTGAAATTAGCAATTCAAATAGACTACAGTCATATAGCTGGTAAAGAAAGAATTAAAAGTAGAACGATATCTAGATGTAATACCAAATAGTAAATTTAAAATAGCAATGACAAGATTCCGACATCATCCTATGATGTAATGATGTGAAAAAGGAAGACATTTAAATATTCCTAGACAATAAAGAATATGTTCAAACTGTAATATGAATGTTATAGAAAGCAAATACCCAAAACATAATTACCAAAGAAAAACTTACTTCAATCTTTATTTTTACCATTGGCCTACTAAGCAAAAATTTATCTCACTTATGAAATTAGTCTCTGTTAAAAGGATCATTAATGTCAGCAAATTTATGTACAAAGCTTTCCATATGCAATAATTCTTCTTTATTCCAAAACGAATTTTTATTATCATAGCCTAAATTTCACTGTTTGGTTTTCTTGTAATCATTTGTAAGTATTTTAAGTAAATATGAACACAATGAAATGGATCCCCAACCGATCCATATTTGAATTGTTTTACAAAATGTATTTAATGCACACAAAATTGCTCGCATAAATATAACAATAGAAAAATATTTTTTGTAATATGTTTTACTATAGAAGTAACACAACAGATAATAATGATGAGAAATATTGATTTGGAACGACTTTAAAAAATCAATCATATTTACTCTGTTATTTTATTTTAAGATTAATTTATATAAATCATTTGTATAATTCTCTGTTAATCATGTACTTGCCCCTTATATGTTTGAATTACATATTGAACTGGCTGTTAATATTGTAACATTTAATGCTGAATAAATGTTATGTTGTATGTGTTAAACACGGAGTTATGGCCTCTGTTATTGCCCTTAATTTGTATCCTGTACAAAGAATATTACTGTTTATGATATAATAAATATATAAATAAAGCCTTTTGTCTCCAGTTGTTGTGTTAGAAATAACCGGTTCTCGGCGGGGAATATGAATTCAACGTGTATGCTTGTTGTTACATAATGACGAAGTCACGAGAACAACAATTTCAAGCCTGATATCTATGCATTCCCGCACTAAGTCTTATTGACAAAGACACAAAATTTGTCCTACATGTTAAATACTAAGGATGTCGAGGCAAGGAATGCTTAAGTCTTATTCAATATTTGAAAATATGAATTGTTTAAGACCCAAAACAACCCGGAAGACTGCTAAATAAGGTTGTTTTCCAATTTTGATTTCCTCGTTATTAGACTACATATTTTTGACTGTATTGGACCAAATTACTGTACAAAGTGCAGGGACAGCTCACAATTAGCCAGTTTATGGCAATCACCTCATAATATTTTCGGCAAAAAGATTTCTCGGTACGTTGTAGTATAATATAATATTTCATTCAGAGGTAAATTCTGACTACATAACCTTGCGCACATTATTTACCCTTTACTTTTTCCCCCACAACTAGGGCATATGAACATAAAAAAGAGCCTATCTGACATTGTGTAAAATACATTGATAACAAACTACTAGTTTTAATAGAAATATTAAGACTATCAAGATATTAAGACTATCAAGGGGCGTTCGAGGCCAGGTGGAGATGGTCGTGGATTTCAGTCAACTTTCCCATTATAACTGTGGGTTCGAATCCCGCCAGGCACGGTCGGATGATTCTTCTGCTATCAAGCTAGCTAACATGACATTGGTGCTTTAAATCATAGCCTGACACTACCTGCTATAATGCATGGAGTGGCACCTGAAGTCATTTTCCACACTAGTAAATAAGGAAAAATTATCGTATGACCTTGACAGTGCTAATGAACGTAAAACAAAAAATTCTCAATGGTTAAACTTTATTGGGGTTAAAGTCTTGATTGCTTTAAATTCATAGGAATTGTGTAACAACTACATTTTATATCAGATAGATTTAAATCCATTGCAAATCATTATATTCGGTTATTTAAGAACGTACTAAATTCATACAAAAATTTTGTCCATGTTTTGTACTTATTTCTCTGCACAGCTTCAAGTTTCATTCCAATAGTGTGAAAGTGTAAATTCAGCAGATGTAATATTTAAATTTTATTGTATTTACAAAGTTGTATATTTTACATACGTTATGCTTCTGTAACATGATTTCTTTTCATTTTTTTTAAAACATGATATTAATGATGTCAATTTTGAAACATGGATAACTGACACGTACTGCATTTAACAAGCAAGAATTATGGGAACTTGTTATGATAACATATGTAAATAATTCCTTTTGTTGAAAACATTTTCCTGTTCGTATTAACGTAACATTTAAAAATGAGCATGTATTATTAGTGTTCTTGCATCAAGAGTAGAAAAGATGGTAGTGCATAATAGTTTTCCTTTTTTGACTAGTGAAATGCAAATTATTAAAATAAAAATTTTGAAAGTGTTCTCCTCGAAGATATATATTAAAATCAAAAGATACACGTACCCGAAAGTAAAAAATAAGTTCAATATAAACCTGGGACTGTATCTTGAATCTGCGAAACTTGTGACAAATGACAAAGTTTTGAGGATATTTTTTATTATTATTCATGAATCTTTCTGTGCTCTTTCATATCTGACATGAATTAAAATACTTCTATCTAAATCAGCATTTCGTTTTTAATTAAGATGTAAACAAACTGTTTGTTCGTTTTTCTTTTGTTTTGATTGGAATGCTGCTACAAATTAAGTCAAGAAACTAGCTAAAATTTTGGAAGGAAGGTCACATCACACCGGCATAATCCAAACCTAATGACAAGGAATGATTGAGTCTGTTAAAGACATAAAATATAAATCAACTTGACATTGACTGAACAGACTTG